ACTGGATTAACGGGGAGGGCTTTCAGGAGAGCGTCAACAGGTGCCTGCAGACCCTCACGGCAGCCCTGTGGTGGGCATGGAGGATTCCTTCAGCCGAGATGACCTACCCCTCAGGTGAGTGAGGGTTATGAAATGAAACACGTCACCATCCAGGGCTGGAGTGTCAGGTGATTTGCCCCAGGCCCCACAGGCCGAGATCTGACCAGCTCTTTCTCGGGGATGTGCCCTTCGTGTGACAAAATCAGCCAAGCTAGCTCACTGCCCCCATGCTCAGCCCAGCCGCAGGCTCCGCCTCTTCTCACCCCCACAAACCCCTCACAGCCTTGCTCAGATCCTGCCCTTGTGTCACCTACACAGTGAAGGTCACCTCCACAGGGGTGTCTCCCAGTCCTAGGATATTAGATCCCCAGACACACCTGTCCTTTTCTCTCTTCTTCCTGTTACAGGCGGGGCAGTGCCTGTCTGTCCGTTTTTCCGTCCCCCAGCGACCCGCCCATGCCTGGGAGGTGGCTGTTTACCTCACTGGATGTGTGGCAGGGCAAGCACATCTCCTCCCTCCCTCGCCCCTACTCCCACCCTCCTGTGCCGTCCTCTGGGGCGGCACAGTGCTGTGTCCCAGAACGTGGGCTCTCTGCCAGGGGCTCTGTGAGCCCAGCTCTGCCTGCTCAGCTGTGTGACAAGTTATTTCGATCTCTATGCTTTGACTTTCTCATTTGTCAAATGGAGGGTTAGAAGAAATAGTACCTAATTCCCTGACTAAAAAAAAATACAGTACTAGTGGTGCTGGCCACTGAACCCTCCCATTCATTCCTTGCCCTGGGCTGTGACCTCCTGCCTGTCACTGTTCTGTGCCAAAGACAAAAGTCACTTCCAGCTGAGTTTAAAGTCCTTGAGAACAGGTAAACTGCTGTCTGCTGCTCTCCATTTCTAGATTCTTGGGAGAATGAACTCAAGAAATATGCATCACAGTGCACAAAGGGTGGAGGACGTGGGGGGGGGGAGGTCAGAGCTGCTAAGGAAGCTATTTGCACCCACCTGCTGGGGCCCCATAAGTACAGAAAAGAAAATTTCTGATAGTTTACTCTCATTAGCAAGAGGCTCACCCACAAACACCTCAGATTGTGTCTTGATGTTCCACAGTCAAACCCAAGATGGTTACAAGATGGAGAGAATTCTTAAGGAGTATGAAGGGTGAGATGTCAGGAGGAAACTTACTGGTGAGGTGATTAAAAATTTAAAGTATTTGATAGCAACTTTTAAAAATGGAACTAGAGGCTCTCCCTGGTGGTGCAGCGGGTTAAAGCACAACACTAAGAAGCTAAAGCCACTTCCGCATGAGTTCGATTCCCCCCTGCCCCGGAGGAGACCACAAAGGGGTGACCACATGGCGTGGCAGACCTCTCCTGACCCGCCCCTGCTCCCCTCAGCAGTGTACTTCGTGATCTGCCTGTTCTGCTCCCCACTCTGTCTCTGGTGAAGCCTCTCGCTGGCCCTGCACCTCTGGCCTGTACCCCAGTTCTGTATGAATAAATAAATCTTTAATTAAAAAAAAAATGGAACTAGAAAGTCTGTTTTGCAGAAAAATACTCTAGATCGATTCCACTTCCCCTTCAAATTGAGAAATGTTAAATGAGCTTGAGTTTGAAAAAGAAAAAGAGCTCAGTGTCAGCCAGGTCTCTTGACACTTGGAGCCTCTGACCTCTCACCCACTGCGCTGCCTGGAATGTTCCAGGAGAGGAGTCGTGAGTCTTCCAGGCAGAATGCTCAACTGCTCCTGCAGGCTTGCTGCTCAAATCTTTCAGAAATGCCCAATGAAGTAACAGAAAGTGATTCAGATGAAAACAGGGAATTTCCAAGAAAACCAAAGTAACTCAGCCTGTGAGTAAGTGACGTCCTAGGGAGGGGGTAGGCGCCCCTTCAAAGTCTCCCAGTTGGGCTCCCACCGCAGGAGGAGCACGCGGCGGCAGCCTCGGGGCCACTTCCCACCGAGGGCCGCGTGCTGTCCACCCTGCGAGAACAGACGCTCCACGCAGCAGGTTCTACACAAGCCGTTTATTTGAAATGCCAACTACGTGTGGGGCAGTCAGTGGTACATGCTCATCAGTAACAGTAGAAAAATAGAACCAGTGAAAACCTTTGTACAACCGTGATGATACTCAAGAGAGAAACGTATCGCTTTACAATGCTTCACACCAATTCAAGTCTGGAGGTACCTAAATAAAAATACTATATATTTCTTTAAAAAACACTATGTACAATTGAAGCGTAAACAAGTTTTACAAAGTACTGGTTATGCAGGTTGTAAAAAACACTTGCATAGGACATGAAATCAGTTTAAGAAAAATTTCTGAGCCTTTAGCATTGAAGGCACTTGACTTGATACCAGTAACAACACAACCACAAGAAACGCAGTGTTGGAGAAGGAACCAACTTCTGGAAGGAGAGCTGTGGCAGAGAACAGCACACGGAGCGGGGGGATCTGTGTCTTCCAGCCGCCCCATCTCAGGGCAGAGTGCGGGGCGCCTGCCCGTGGAGCCCAGGTGCAGCTGGGGCGGGTGCACACTGCGCCCAGGGCACCCAAGCTTGCCTCCGAGACAGAACCCACAGAAAGAAGCAAACACGAGGCCACTGTCAAGACACACACTTGCAAGTTACCCTTCTACAGAAACAGCCACAGCATTATAATATCCAGAATATGGACACAGTTTGAGGGTTTTTTAGAGGGGAAAAAAATCAAAAGACTTGCCAACACAATAATTACAGAACAGCTATTGCAGTCAGACAAAAAAGGACAACATTTCATAAAACATTGTTCATCCAAGTGTTAATGGAAAATAGTAAAATACCTTTTAGCGGTGTGCGTGTAACTCCCTTAGTAAGGTTATCTATAATGAGGTTCAAAGTAAATTCTTAGTAGACAAAGTAAACCATTGCAGAACCGGGAATAGCACCCATCACTGCTATTTTAACAGTAATTTTCAACAGAAAGTTGAAAGTCAACTCAATTTTGTAAAGTCAAATAAACATATCCCTTTGTCGTCAGTTCTAAGCTAAACCCATGAATGCCTTAGGATCACAAAGTGGGTATCTTACATGTGTTTCATGAAACTCATTTTCCTTACAAGGCAGATTAAACATGAAAAAAATGCATTCTGCCGAGAACGCTAATCCTTCACCTCAAGTGCAACAAAGGCCAACCGTGTTCTCAGCCCTTCGCACTCCTCTGAGTTGCCACCTCTGTTCCAGTGGGCAAGTGCTGCCTATTGCTAGAACCTGAACAAATCAAAAGCAAATTCTATAAAAGACAACAAAAGTAATAAAGTTTCTCAGCAAAAAAAAAAAAAAAAAAAAAAAGTCAAGTGTCACCGAGTTCTACAAAAAGAGTTAAATATAAAGAACTCATAAAAAACCCTTAAAATCTAACTGGTTATCAGAACGTCAGGAGAACTGGGGTCTAGGGACACGCTAGAAAAAGGGGTATGATACAGGAAGCTACTGCTCAGGAGTAACCTTATTTTTCATTCTGCTTGCTTCTCTCCCTTAGGGGTTACAGGTGGCTCTGAATTTATGTCACCAAAAATCACAAAAAATATAAGGAACAGACCAAGAGCATCTTGAAGAAATGTGGATCTTCATTTTCCGCTCTTGGATCTAAATGGTGACTCCTGACCTCGACACAGAGGACAGTGGATTGTCTGTGGCCTCAAGAGGAGATCTGGTGTTTTGAGATTTGGTTCTCATGACATTTCCACGCCGAGGAAACTGCCAGTTCCGGGGGCCTGAATGGGGTGGTATACATACATATGTATTTTTTTCTGAGAACAGTCTTACTTTGACTTCACGTTTATCTTAGTACGGCATCAAAAGATGAGAAGACTTTAATGCTCAGTAATATGCATTAAGAGAGACAGAATAGCTGGGTTCAAAGCCAGAGACACATCACTTCTCGCTGGCCCTATTAACCATGCTTCACAGACACACACAAACCATGTGCCTTTACCTTCTGCAGGTCCCAGTCGTCCACACTGCTGCGGAGTAAAGCAAGTTTCTCTACACACACAGTTTAGCCAGGTATTTCATAAATAAAACAGAACTATGAATAGTGGCCACTTATTTTTACAATTATAGTTTGGGGATATGAAAGAATATTTAATAAATTTTCAGAAAAGTGAGTGTGTGGCTTCAAAAGCTCTAAGATTTTAAAAAAAGAGATCAGAGATGAGAACGTATTTCCCCACCCTAATTACTCATTCTTATTTGCAGCCCAGTCTGAATTCAGTTCAGAAATGACAAACTGTATCAAAATAATGCCTATCAACAGTGCCAGCGCGGGCCCACACACATCAAACAATATGCTGGAATAAATAACTTGTTTCTGAAGCGACAGACTGAGATTGGTGTCCAAACACACCATCCTCTATTACAATAGAGTCCAACTTCCTAAAAAGAAGAGTCCCCTGTTTTTCTATCTTTAAAAAGAAAAAAAGCAGCCTCAAAGGTGATGCACAGCTGACTTACAGTCGGTCAGTGTCGGCTCTGGAGCCTGGAGCGGGCGGCGCAATCCCAGCACGCTCTGCTCTGGCAGCGAGCGGGCCGGGCAGTGGCAGCCGCCGGTGGGGGCGGGGCCAGCCACACTTCCCATCTTCCAACTACTGCAGTAGGATTCTTTAAAATATCAGATTATTCCTGAGTGTATATCCACAGGGTAAAGTAGGAAGAGTCTGTAAGAGAAACTACAGTTTCAGGAGAAATCAGAGTCGTTGACAGCCAATAGAAACCTATTTACTTAAAAGTGCATGTCATTCATTTACATGGTAGCTTGTGAAGGCTGCCTAGCCCTGCATAGTTTTTAGAGTGAGTGTGAGTGATTCATAGTACTCTCTCTCTCTCTATATATATATAGGTGCATATATATATATATATATATATATATATATATATACACACACACACACATACATAGGAAAGAGGCACCCAAACATCCTTCACAGGAGGGAACGTTCAGAAAGTCTCTTTACATCTAAGTGCTACGGTTGTGTGTGTAAAAATACAAAATGAGTGCTCAAATAATGTGGAAGTGATTAAAAAACTCAAATGCTAATATATTTACATCGGAGAGTAAGGAAGAAACAGTCCTTAGCTCACACTCTGCCCTCCCAGGGAGAGAACCTAGATATCCCATGTGCTCAGTGGTTCAGCAGAACCCCACACCAGCCTCTCCAGTGGAGTTCAAGTAGGACATGTAGTGTTTCACTGGAAAAAAAAAAGTTTCTTTTTCTTTTTTGGTTATGAAGCCTTATGCATTATACAACAGCTTTTTATAGGACACCAAAATCCAGACACACTGAAAAACACTTAAAAGAAAACAGATGCTTACAAACACCAAATGACATCCGGAAGACTGAAGCCCTTTGTTTTTCTGTTTTTTTCCCCAAAGAAAGCAGACGACTGAAGGCAGCAAGCAGTCATCTCCCCTCTCAGCTTGGGGGCGCGCAGAACCCGAAACCGCAGTCCTGAAGTTACTTGGAGACTTCGCTGCTTTATGACTCCAGAGCCTGCAGTGCGCTGACAAAGCAACGGCCTCCGGCCGGGCAAGAGGCCTGTGCTCCCTTCCGCTGGGGCTCCTGCTGGAGGAACGAAGACCAGCCCCCAGGACTGATTTTTTAAAATGACATTGAATTTATGGAGACTGAGCAGGAAGAGTTCTGAACTAAAACAATTACTGAAAAGAGAGGAGCATTGTGATGTTCTGTTCTTTGGAATTTCTATAATTAAAAATAAACACAGAACTATTTCATAAGAAAATACATCTCGGTGTGCAGTCCAATGCACTTGGAAACTGGCAGATGAAAGGCAAAATGCAAAAAAGTATGAAAATACAGTCTTTTCAATGTGGCAATAAAGTTTAACACACTGATATAAAATCAATACAGATAAAATAAAAGCACAGGTGCAAAAAAATTCCATCATTTGTTAAGAGAAAAAAAAGTGCCAGCCTGCTTGCTCTTAAAAATGCTTCCCCACACAACTGTTCAAACACAAAACAGACGCAGCATTCAAAGTAACCCTCTTAGCATGCCATGTCTAATAAACATGTATATACAAAAACTGGAATAAAATAACACGAAACTAATTATCAGCTGGCATCAACAGGCTGGTCTCTAAGTTGTTGGGTCACATCAGAAAATGGGGTGTTTCACATCTCAGGCACCGACGACTTGGAGATTGCTCTCAGAGGGCAGACTTTTTGTAGAGGAAGTCTGGCTTGCTTGGGGACCTCCTTCCTCTGCTCATCGAATCTTCCCGTTCCAACTCTGTGTTCCGCTGAGCTCCGTGGCCCAGCGACTCACTGTCTGCTGTTCTCCTACTGGATCTCTCCTCTGGAGCTTCAGAGCTACATGCAGAATGCGCAGGTCTGCTGGGAGTCAGCCCAAAAGTCAAGTCAGTTTCTCCTGCTGTTCGTCCCTTGACAGGGGCGGGACCACCGCCAGCACTTTCTGGGACTGCCGAGGGAAAGTCTGACCGTGGAGGAGGTTGCTCAACAACATCGAGGTGTATGGGTTCATTCTTTTGTCTGTGCAGATGCCCGTCAGGGGAAAGCGGATGCTCTCTCCTTCCTTCTTCTTGCTTTTTAGGAGAGCTCTGGGTAGGTAAGTAGGCTGACTTTAAGCCACTTGGTGAGGCCTTGTTGTGGCTATATAGGTCGGGACCAAGATATCCACCGTGCGAAGGGGAAGGGGTGTGTCGACCAGGAGCTGGAGTAGAAGGTCTGCAAGCAGCACTTGAGAAGTCATAGAAATCCGGATACTCCTGCTGATTTTCACGAGCATCTGGTTTTTGCTCTAGCATGTGTTTCTTTCGGTAAGTGTGTATGTGCCTCTGTGGAACACATGACAGATGCTGGGGAGGCCCTGGTCCTGCTTCAGAAGCTGACTGACTTAATTCTGTATCAATAGCAAGTTCTGGAAGCATCCTGTCCTTGAGTGACAGGGTGGACACGCCCATGGCGATGTCTGGCATTAAATCATTTAGCACAGGTTGTGTACACTGTGAACAGAAACATGAGGAGGGTCAGAAACAAAAAGGCCCACAAGTTCCTCTTTGTAAGAAGGATGTTCGCTGCTTCTGTCTCAGTGTAACAGTGACCCATGCTTATTTGTACAAATCATAAAAACACAGAATGCAAATGCAGAGCCCCCCCCAGCATTTCATGGTATTTCTCTCACCGTTTTTTTTCCCTTTGCACATTGTTATTTTTAATAAAGTCTAATGCATATGTAATTGGGTAAAGAAATTTTCTTTGAGATTACCAATTAAATCGTTGTATTTCCACTGTCTCAACGAGCCATGACTTATTGAACCATTCTCCCACTGTTAATTATTAAGGTAGTTTCCAATTACAATCAAGACTGCAGTGAGCACTCAAATAAATTAAAGCCTTTTATTTAAGGGGTCTCCTTGGTGGCCTATGGGTAAATCTCAGTACTATCACTGCTTAGTTTGATCCCCGGCCAGGGAGGTGACCCATAGGGCATAGTCCTCTCCTGTCTCACTCACTGCTCCCCTCAGTATACTTCACTGCAGTATACTTCAGTGAATCTGCCTGTTCTGTTCCCCATCTGTCTCTGGTGAATCCTCTCACCTCTTGCACCTCAGGCCTGTACCCCTTCCATACAAAAATAAATTAATTAAAAAAGATTTTTACTTAAAATATAAAACAAAATCTTTTGAATTGTAGAGCCAAGGGCCAGTAGGATGGAAGTCTGCTTTATCAAACACTATTATTAGCCTTTGTTGTTTCTTTTCTGGGAGGTGGGGGTGGACAGCAGGGAGCCCAGGAAGCACAGGTCATAATTTGGACCAGACCAAAGTCTACTATGTCCATAGATTCCAAATCATATTTTTTTTTTAAAGATTTATTTATTTGTACATACAGAACTGGGGTACAGGCCAGAGACTCAGGGGCAGTGAGAGGCTTCACCAGAGACAGAGTGGGGAGCAGAACAGGCAGATCAACGAAGTACACTGCTGAGGGGAGCAGCGGGCAGGTCAGGAGAGGTCTGCCACGCCATGTGGTCACCTCCAGGGCAGGCGGGAATCGAACTCATGCTGAAGTGGCTTTAGCTTCTCAGTGCAGTGCTTTAACCCGCTGCGCCACCAGGGAGGGCCCCCCAAATCATATTTTAATGAAGAGTCCCTGAATCTTTTGTTTTCCTCTAGAATGAATGCTAGTAGTAGCATGTAACTGAGGACTTTAAAGTGACACCCCCCCACCACCACCTCAATGTATTATACAGAACAGAAATTCAGCCCCTCACACAATGCAAAATAAAGCAAAGATTCTCTCTTCACGTGCCAGCTGCTTGTACTGCTACGGTGCCAACAGAGTGCTCTGATGGGCGGGCAGGCAGCCAGAGCAGGGATGCGCGTGAGGACCGCTTCTCAGCCAGCCCACTGTGACTGGAGTTGTCGCCTGCCTCCTTGTTCTGACTTATTCTTAGCCATAAGTGACTTGCCATTCAAAGTATTTGGTAGAACTGAATGGAAGTCAGGAAGATGGTTCTAGATGAGCTTGAAAAGGACATTATGAAACTGGTGTCATCTAGTGACCTTGCCTATCTCTAAGCCCCGTGACTAAACTTATAGGGAGACCATGTACAACTCTGGTCTCTCGTCCCTGTCCTTTCTCCGTCCCCTACACCAGGCACCGCTCTCTTTTCCTGGCTCTGAGGTCTATGCCTCAGCTTCTTAGTAAGTCTGGGCACTGCTGAGTCCTGGGGCCAGGAGAGTCACTTCCAACATCCCATCAACTTTTTAGTAGCTAAGTCACGGAAGTGCCAACTTACCGCTTGTTTCTCAGTTGCTGCTGCTGCTGCTGAGGTGGTGGTGGTGGCAGCTGCCGCCACCGTCTGCCTCCCCAGGCCTGTGGTGTTGGTACAGTCAGGTGCTGCTACTTTAACACCTGGCAGGTAGACGGGAGGGGGGGCAGCCTTAGGAGCAGTTCTGGAGTGGAACAGTGAATGATTGCAGGGATAAGAAAATGAACGGGAAGGGTGAGGATGGGAAGGTCTCTGTTTCCAGCCTGCTTTGAGCTGACTGTGGACTGGAGTAGCTGGGGGGTGGTACGGAGGTGGGGGCGGTGGCAGGGGTGGGTGGAAGGCCACAAAGGGGTCCAGATCTGTAAACATGGTCTCCGCAGTAGGGGTACTGTTAACGCGACATCTCCCAGACTGTCTCATTGTCAAGAGCGGACTTTCATCCCCAAAGCGTTCATCAGGAAAGAACTTGTGAGGATTCTAGGATTAAAAGCAAATAAGGTCACTGTTAAGATTTCTAGATGGAAATTTACAGGCTGAGTTAAATGAATCCTGAAGAAAACCACATTCAATAGAAGTGGAAGGAAAACCATACCACGATAAAATGACCTTGCTAATAGTACATTACAGCGGAGACAGTGACACAGAGCGCTCCCCTGAAAAGCCCAGCAAGCAGGTCAATAATCTCTTGCATGGGATTACATATTAATGCAAATAATAACATTAGCAATAATACACCCAATTCAAGAACATCTTTGTTAAGAGAATTAAAGCACCATTAGATACCAAAGGAGGAAGAAAAGCACATTAAGTGGGATCCTCCCAGAATTTTCTGACAAAGCATGTGTTTATTCTGTCTGCAATAAAAGAAAAATATGATTCCTTACTTACTATAGGCAACTACTTAACATTTTCGTGAATGAAATGTTAAATGACAAAACTTTAATATAGTTCAGAATGGCAAAGAACAGAAGCAAGTAGAAAATAAGACCACTTTAGGGATGGAAAACCTAGCAAAACTGAAAATCAAAGATCCAGAGTCCGCCTTCTCCCTACAGTGTAGCACCTAGGCTAGAGTGGTATGGGCATTTACACGACAAGAAAACACTTCAATCTCCCGACCAGATGAAACTATGTGTATGTTGGGCTCTACTTTAGTGGCTCTGAGCAGAATATTTTATGCCATCTATCTCTGTTTCAGAACCAATGCTCTGCATGGCCTTATGTACCTACTAATTCCTGGAGACGCCCCCACCCCGATGGCGGAAAGCCTCTCCTACCTGCAAGAGCTCCGCAGCAGCATCCGCGAGCCCGAACTCTCTCAGCACGCGGATCTGGATTTCGTAGCTGACGGTGGCGCCCTCCCCGCAGTTGAGTGCGTAGGCTCTCTGCACCTGCTCGGTGTGCCGGAGCTCCTGCAGGCGCCGCACCATGTCCCTCACGGTGAGGAGGCGGGGGACTGCAGAAGAAACCAGTGTGGAGGCAAAACACCTGAGTACCCAAAAGGCGACCACCGAGCACAAGGGGAAAAGCTGATCTGCATAGGAACATTCTCATATATTTCTTGCAGGCTACTTTCAGCTTCCTGGCGACACAGGAATTTATACAGTTTGAATTATTTGTCAAGGTATTAAAATTTCAAGAGCCCACGTGGCTCTTGCTCACCCCAAACAATTCCTGAAATGTGTAATTTTTGTGCTAGCCTGAGTAGTTTTACCTGCAGATACTCCCTCTCCAGAATCTCGGGATATTTTGTAAGTCCTCTAAACACAGTGTTTGAGATTTAAGTATGTTTTTGAGCCCTGGCTATGCAGCAGCATGGACTCAGTTATGAGGGTACTCAAAGAGCTGGTTTTAGTGCCATAAGCTAAGAAAACCAGCCCAGTAAAGGGCCATTAGTGGCATGGAGAGAAATGTGTAAAGGGTGATGGCAGGGTTCTGAGGAAGGGGTGCCCAACCCAGTGCAGGCAGGAAGGGAAGGCTTTCTCCACAGGGTGAGCCCTGAGCCTCGATGAACAGGGAGCCAGAGCAGAGGCTTCCCGAGCAGGACAGGCCATGCACAAAAATGTCAAGTAAGAGACAGCCTGGCACAAGCTGGCACAGCTAACAGAACAGAGGACTCAAAGGTATAACAGGAAGAGTACTGCGAGAGGGGTAGAAAGATGGGTTGGGGCAGATGATGAAGGACCCTGTATATCATGGTAAGGAACTGAGGTGGTCTCCTGTGTCTCCTACACAGCTCATGCCTGTGTAGGGGAAGGGCGGGATCAGAGCTATGAGGTGGCATCTGTACCGAGGGTGGCGTAAAGCAGGGGTGGGCAAAACGGCCTGTAGAGTAACAATAAAAGTGTGCCACTTGTTTTCGTTGCGTTTCACTGGCACACAGCCACACCCACTTGTTCAGGGATGGCCATGCGGAAGTGGGAAGGCTGAGTTGTGCAGCAAACGCACAGCATACAAAGTCTAAAATAGTTACTATCTGGCCCTTCACAGAAAGTGTGCTGATCCCCATATATAGACCAGAGGGGCGTAAGGCTGGAGGGACAGAAACGGACTAGGGGTGTGGCAGAGGATTGGGCAAGAGGGGCAAGTCTATAGAACCCTATGACAAACTGAATCAAGTGTTATTATTATTTTGGGGGAAAAGGTTTGTGGAATATTTACTTTGCAAATCCTAAGCATGTACTCATGGCACTTCTGTAAATCCTCACAACCACCTTAGAAAGGGGACACCCCCATCCCATAGGCAACAAAATGAAAGCTCAGGGAAGCAGTTTGTAAAATCACAAATAAAGTGGCAGAACCAGAATAAGAACCCAGGTGTCTTCTCCAGCAAGTCACAGAGCTTTTCAGAAGTGTGCTGGGCAAGGAAAAGAAGAATCAGGATGATACCAGACAGGGTCACATGGCATTAGTTAAGCATGGAAAGACAAGTCATCTTTTTGAGTGTACTTGACTGTAATGTCTCTGGGCTTTTGAGAGTCGGTTTTAAGATTAAATTTTGTTGCTATTCAATTGTATTAACTTAAGCTGATAAAAACCTTGTTAATTACCATAGCTCCAAAATCTGCACACATCAGCTACAGAAAAAATTCTCTTTGTATTTTTATCCAATGTATATTTAAATAAACGTGCAGTGGCCAAATCTGAGAAGGCAACAATCTATCAGATGGTCGGTCTCAGAATAAAATGTATGCACTTAAGTTAAAAGTTCTATCATTATAGCCTTTATTTATCCTCATTTGGAAAAGAAATTTAAAAGCACAAAGTAAATAGCATCAATTCTAGTAATACTCTATTATTTTTAATCTTACAGTGTTAAAAGGCAAGAGCTTTTAAGTTCTTGATGCTTAGATCACTATTGGTTTTCTCACCTGAGACATTGATACCAGAGACTTTTGTTGAAGCGTCAGAAGGTTTTGGACAGATCGTATATGATTAAGTTTCTAACTGTAAGACAACCACCTTTACTATAATAAAATCCACAGGGCAAAGCTTGAGAAACCGATTATCTAGGGGCCGATGGTGATTATACTTTGGGGAACATATGTAGCCTCAAAGATGTTACATTTATAATACTCTCCCCCAAAGGATCTTACAATACAAAATATTCTATGGTGATGAAAAATCAGAATTCCTCTAAATCAGGAGGGTCTTCTAAATCAGTGGTTCTCATCAGGAGGTGACTTCATTCCTTTGGGCACATTTAGCAATGTCCAGAAACATTAAAATGTTTCCAAAAGGTTGTCCCAATGAGTTGTGTGTCCGTGTTCATGCTTCTGGCGAATCCAGGTCTGTGAAATACTACAATGCACAAGGCAGTTCCCCGACAGAGGCTAATTTATTCTTAAATGTCAACAGGGCCTAGTTTGAGAAGCACTGGATGGATTAAATGGTAACTGAAAACCGTACACATGTGCTAAATCAAAATAAAACATAAAACTTAGCTTGAAAGTACATATTCTTTAAAGAGAACAATGCATAATGGGTAGTGGAATGTGGGGAGAGATTAGCCTATCAAAAGGGTTATAAAAGACAATCAGATCCTTCATTTAAATACAAATGTCTTACCTGGAATTTCATTGGCTACCACTGAAGGAGGGCTGGACTGGTTACTGCTGATCTGCTGGTGGCTGATCATGTGACAACACTGTGGCACTGCATTGCTGACCATGTAAAGTGTGTCGGGCACATTGGACATTCTAACCATTCGCAGACGTACAAGATCTGTTTGTTCCACCATCATCTCGTCTAGCACTGACTAAGATAATAATTCGGTATTAACAGAATTGGTCTTCATCTGTTAAATCACATTTGCAAAAAGATAACTACCATCAAATAAAAAGAGAATTAATTTACTCTTTCCAATGTATGAAGTTTAAAATTAGTGATGAAAGGAAAAAGACCCCCCCCTCTTTAATTTCTTTTTAAGATTATTTATTCATATAGAACTAGGGCACAAGTCAGAGTTGTAGGGGCAGTGAGAGGCTTCCCCAGAGACATAGTGGGGAGAAGAGCAGGCCGATGGATGAAGTACACTGCTGAGGGGAGCAGCGGGCAGGTCAGGAGAGGTCTGCCGTGCCATGTGCTCTGGGGCAGGGATCAAACTCGCACCGAAGCAGCTGTGGCTAGCCTCCAGTACTGCGTCTTAACCCGGTGCGCCACCAGGGAGGGCCCCGTCCTTAATTTCTAAGGAATCTTTGGGAACCATTTTTTTTTTAAAGACTTACTTATTTATTCATACATAGAAGAACTGGGTATAGGCCAGAAGTGTTTGGGAGGGGGGGGAGAGGGAGAGGGCGGTTGCGAGAAAGAAAGAGAGAAGCAGAAAGGCATACTTGAAATACACTGCTGAGGGGAGCAGTGGGTGAGACAGGAGAGGTCTGTTGTGCCACCTCCCTGGATCGAACTCAGGCCTTGGTGGTGATAGCGTTGAGACTTAATACATAGGCCACCAGGGAGCCCTCACCCCCATTTTTAAAAAGAAATAATTATCTTTGACAAGTTTGTTTTAATTAATGCATTTGAAAATTTGAAGAATTACTTAGAAGTGAATTGTGTATAAAGTTACCATAAAGGAAAACAATGTCTACATGGACTAATTATAAGATAGAACAAGAGCTCAAAATACAGAATACTAAAGGTCGATATTAAATTCAACAGGCTGCATCTCCAAACTGCAGCATGGGTAAAATGACATAATATATAAACATTTGCTGTGAACAGTTATCTACTTAAATATATGTTCAGCGATCCAAGGAGTAGAGAAGTTCTAAGAGGACTATTAAGAATAGCTTGCTGCTGTTTGACACAGAGAGGGCTAGTTTATTACTGACCTTTTATCACCAGACTTAACCTTTTGTAAAGATCTCAGCTACTTGAGCAAATTTATTCAGTGAACTTACTTTCAAAAGACAAGACCCAAATTTTCTGCTTTTCCTATGTTTTAGACTCATTTAAAATGTCAACTTCTCAACAAGAGTTACTATCATCCTAGCCAATAAACTTCCCACATCCTTTTATATATCTGAAACTAGAAGCCTCTGATTAAAAACAAAAAAAATACTAAGAAAACTTAATTAAAAACCCAAGTCTTGCTGTTAATTTACTTTATAAAGTTTAAATGACTTCTGACTTTCAAAGACTTGTCAGTTCTTCAAAAGGCTATCACCAAAGTTCTTGTGGCTGAATCTAGCTAATAAAAATTAGTTTCATTTTCACTACCATATTTACTTAGAGTTTTTTGTATTATAATATTAGTGCCAACTATTTACTTAACAGACCTGAAACTTTATCTAAGTTTATACACTTATTCTAAAAATAAAGACAATTTCTAAAAATTAGTCATTATAGAAGCAAGAATATTACAAGAAATCATGGCATTACTTTAGTTTACAAAGAAAGAAAATATGTACAGTCTTCTTCAGAACACTTTCTCACCTTTCCGATCACGTTTCAATAAAAAGGAAAAAAATCAAATTAATTTGCAAAGCAACTAAAATGATAAAAATTCAACTAACATAAACTAAGTTATAAAAACATGCTTGATAATTAAACATTTCAGAAAACTATTCTGCTGAGAAACTGCACTAGAATTTACTTTCATTTCCCTTTATTGGACATTCAGGCTATTTCCAAATATTTAAATAATACTTAGATAAGTATCTTTGTGTTTTTTGTTGGTAGGAAAGCAGGCCAGTATCTTGAAATGGTTTTCATTACCTTTGCTTCTTCCACGTAGGGGGAAAACAGACGAGGACGAACATAAATTCCGGCATTCTTCTGTCGTAACCAGGCGTTTGACTTTCCACCTTCTGATGTAGGAAGCATATCTGATGGGGGGGTACTAATCAAGCCTCTTTTCATCTTGAAAAAAAATATTTTTTGATAAACTGGAGATTTGGGTAGCAAGACAAACTCCTAATGCAAAACTTCATCTTCTAAATAAGTACTTACTTAGGGTATATGTGAAATTTTAAAGATTTTTTTACGTTTCATATAAAAAATTTAGCAATAAAAAGGTACTATAATTTCCCATTTTTCTCTAAACAGAGGAATTGTGTTTGTTTTTTTAAAATGATATTTATTTCTTTCCTTATATCTTAGTTCCCCCACTGCCGCAGCACTTGTGAGCCATCACAGCTGTCCCTTGAGCTCTTCTCTCCTCTCTGCTGACCCCCCCTTGCCCTCCCCCTTGTTGTTTGCTTTAAATATATGGTGAGTTCTCAAGTTCTGCCTTTTTAAACAGTTGAGTTTTTTAAAAATAAGAGCTGTATGCATTAAAAATGTAATAAGCTGGCTCTCCCTGGTGGTGCAGCAGGTTAAAGCGCAGCACTGAGCAGCTAAAGCCACTTCAGTTCAGTTCCCGCCTGCCCCGGAGGTGACCACATGGCGCGGCACACCTCTCCTGACCCGCCCGCTGCTCCCCTCAGCAGTGTACTTCATCGATCTACCAATCTGTCCCCACTCTGTCTCTGGTGAATCCTCTCACGGTCCCTGCACCCCAACTCTGCATGCATAAATACATATTAAAAAAAATAAGTAATGAAGTAGGCTAACTTTTATAACTCTTAAATGAGAACCAATTTTCATTTCCCTGTACTCATCTAGCAACGAATTCCCCTCACTTGGCTTCCCCTTGCCCCCTTACAAGACAAAAAACAAGGACCCATCTCACGCCAGGCCGCTGTCAACAGGGACATAGGCCACTTGCACAGGGCAGGGCAGCAGGGCCGCAGACCTGGCTCAAACCCTTACTCAAGCTGTGTGACATACATGCTTCCTGTGACCCGAACCTAGCTGTAAGGGCTCCGGGGTGCCCCTGGTGACGAGTCTCTGCACAACTGACTAACCTGCTAGCCCAGTTTCCTTGCTTGCACCAGGAGAATATAAAGTGAGAACCTACAGTTCATCAGGTGCTGGTGAGGGTTAAATGGAGGTGATGCAGTAAAAGCACATGGCACAGGGCTGAGGGAGAGTAACGGTCATGCCCTTGTTAGCAGACCTGTACTAGGACTTACCCTGTATTTGGAAAGGAATTAAGAGTAGAGGTAAATATTTCCTATGTCTGCTAAACAAATTCTAAAATAATTTTCTAAACCAAATTCAGAATTCAATTTGGTTTGAGCTTCAAATTTTAAACAGAACCAAACAGTTTCTACAATATTATTGTTAAATACAATAAATGTCTAACTGCTGCATTAGTTTTGGTTTTAACTAATGTTACATATTATTTTAAAAAGAGAAAAAAATCCTTTAGTTCTAACCAACTGTAATAATATCCATATATTTTTCTTATAGTCTTCTTCAAACAAATTTTTAGATATTGAATTCTAGAATACACAAATCATATTTTGTGTACTTCTTTTAGAAGTTATATCTCATCTCTAGCATTTTCCATGTTACAATTACTAGTCTTTATACCCACTGTGTAGGGCGGCAAAATACTCTGGTGAATTACTGTACCACAATTTACTTTTATCTTCCTATTTACTATTTTCAAATAATTAATGACAATGCTACCAAAAATACCAGCTATCCCATGCCTATCAAGCAGTACTATTATTTTTAAAATTACTGATTAATGGGTAATAAAAGATAAATTACCATTTTATTTTGCTTTCTTTGGAGCATGTATGATTATTAGTGAGACTGGACACTGTTTCTAATCAGAGTCCATAAATATTTCATTGTTTTCTTCTAGCATTCCCACATTCAATTTAATATTTAATTCTTTAGTCTAACAGGAATTCAATTTGTATGCAAGTGAAATGAGGGTTTAACTTTCAACATGTCTTTCCTCCCCCACCAACATTCAGTGTAGGACTACAGTGATTTGCAAAAACATATTACTATCTGTGTAATTCTTACATTAATAGAATCTTTATCTGGGTTTTTGTCTTGTCTGTTATGCTAGCCACAGATTAAACAGTATTTTAAAATATATTTTGGAAGTTACCTTCCTTCATTACATTCTTTTTGATTAAGTTGAAAAAAATTGTTTTTTCCAGATTCCAAACACTGAACTTTTATATTTCTATTCAACTGAAAAAAACTACCATGGTGTGTTTTTGAATAGTAACCAAAGGTAGCTTCTACCTTTTCCTTTATGAATAAGGATCTACACTGATAAACGGCTGACTTCACTCCCCTAGAAACCATCCTCTGGTTAAAGCAAGACTATGCAACTCGCACTGAACAATCACTCGTGCCACAGCTGGCAGCCCCTGAACAGTTACTGGTGCCATGTACCAGACACTGGGAACACAATCTGATACAAAACACACATGTCCCTCTGTCCTCATGGAATTTCTAGATTCACAACATTCCGGAAGTAAAGTATTTACAATGATAATAAAGACACTTACTGTATCACCTAGGACTTCGCTGTTTATTGGTAAGATGTGGTCGATTCTCACAAAAGGTAAAAGAGAAGACAAAATCTCCCTAAGTTCTTCAACGTCCAGATCTCGCCGCTTCACACCTCTTTTGTTCACACTGTGTGCAGTGCCACTCAGTAAGTTCGGCTCTGTGAGACAGAAAATGGTAAAGTCTACTGAATCCAAATCCTCAAACAAAGTGTCTTTCTTCCCCATACACTTGCAGTAATACTCTTCTTACTTATGAACATCTGCTTTAAAAATGTTTATAAATAACTTCTATGTCTCAAGTTCACTTAATAGACACGGTTGTAAACAAAAGGCATGGCACCAACAGTACAATGATGTTCTTCATGACTGTTCTGCACTAAAGAATAAATGTTTCTTTCTCAATACTAACTCAAAGGAGAAAAGATGACAACTGACTGAAATCTAGTCTGACCTAGAGCTTTTCCTTAATATTTTTCACTTTTGTGACCAGTTTTCAGTACAATAAGGGCATCACAGGTCAAATGCTATTTCCGGCTGTTGTTGGGATGCTCAGAGTCTGCAAGTTTAACAACAGCATTATAAGGTATGTACCACCTGGTATCCAGAACAGCGAAATTTAATGTGCACTGTCATTGACTAAGGGTTTTATGTGTCTCCCAAACTTCATAATATGGGAACATTACTGTGTAAAGCTGATCCATAATATGTAATGTATTTCCATTCCATCTCTGTCCAAAGGAGAGAATAAGGAATTAGCGAAAGGAGTATTTTAAGTACACATGTATTTATGACCCTGATAAAAAAAAAAAAAAGGATAAAGTTTGGAAATCCAGAGGTACAGGGGTGGTGAGAGGATTCACTAGAGACAGAACGGGGAGCAGAATAGGCAGACTGACGAAATACACTGCTGAGGGGAGCAGCGGGCAGGTCAGGAGGTCTGCCGCGCCATGTGGATCACCTCCAGGGTGGGGATTGAACTCATGCTGAAGTGGCTTTAGTTTCTTAGC